CACAAGACATTAACAAATGCATTGACCAATGAGTTAATCACTTGATTCATACCTTCAGATAATTTCCTTAAAGCTTTTGAAGACTTAAAGATTGCCATCGAATTGGATCCAAACAATCGTGAATTTCGATTGGCATTTGACGCCAGTTGTGAACAGTTGGGGATTCAGGTCTTGTAGATCCAAATGACCACTTAAGTGCTATATCTGTCATAAATTTATGAATTGGTTTATTGCTATATAGACCCACAATCACCACACAGACTGATCCATGGCTTTACAATTGAGTCAATTCGCACAGAATATTACCAAATATTGACAATTTGTTTGCCCTGGATCACTCAACAATTAATGGATAATAAGTTTCTATTTTATTTATTTGTAAATATTTATTTTGCATCTAAATCAAATTGTTTTACAATTTATTATATTAATAAAATTTCCTAATTGAATTTAATTTGATACAACAAATGTGGTCTCTTATGATGACTGTAACAAAAGTTGGCTATACTTTCAATGCATTTTTTGTTTCAATTATTTTGATGCAATCCATGGACTATTGGACGTACACAATATCCAATTAAAAAGTGACCAGATCATCAAATTAATGGATAATATATTTATTATGCCACTATACCTGTCACTTTGTGCCCGTTAGTTATCCTCATAATATCATTCACATCTAATACCAGTTTCTAATTTATGATTGCAGTTATATTTCTCGTAAATCTCTAAATGTGTTATAAAGTTATAAAAGTATAACTAGTGTGCGATCACTGGTTAACCCCTTTCTAGCAATCAGTGATCCATGAGTTGTGCAATCGTTGCCACCAAATGGACAGCCTTTGCGTAATAGTGGTGCGAGTATTGCGCAGATGTTTGGCACCGTTAGCTCCAGAGCACAGTTACGCCAGAGTTGTTGACAGAGACTTGTTTTTATAGTAGACTCAGCTGTCAATGAAACACTCAATGACTGACTGAACCAATGAATGACTCATTTAAATGTCATTTAATAATCATATTTTTAGCTCTCATTTGGTGTCCGATTGCTATCAATGAAATTTTTATAGTAGACTCAGCTGTCAATGAAACACTCAATGACTGACTGAACCAATGAATGACTCATTTAAATGTCATTTAATAATCATATTTTTAGCTCTCATTTGGTGTCCGATTGCTATCAATGAATGCAATCTTGTATTCAATTCATTTGGATTGAAGTTAATCTAAACGCGCGATCAGTTGATTGTCATTTGAATGAATCATACAAACAATGAAATGATAAATTGCTGTCAAATAGCAGTTAAGAGACACTAATCTAAAGACTTTTGGAGATATCTAGATATTTGTGACACTGGTTTGAATCGATTGAATAAATGCCTGCTTTTGACCAAACATTCAATAACACAGTGAATAGGAATCACAACTCAATTAAGACTAATTCGCCGTCAATTGTATCGATACTTCATTTCAATGACTGCTATAACGTTGAGTCCAGACCTGATGAGCCCTCCGGAGGGGCCGCCCGTCTCGTCACTGCCTTCAATGCCTACAGAGATTGCGATCCATTAGTCCTCTTCAGCGGCGATATAATGTCCCCATCGATCAGTCAGTATCCATGAAATGTCTCAACCTATTCACCACTTGTCCTCTAATTCAATGCATTTGTTGCCAAACAGTGAGTACTTTCACAAAAGGCGAGCAAATGATTCCCGTATTGAACGCATTGGCCGTCGATTGTGCCGTCTTTGGCAACCATGAGTTCGGTCTGTCTTTAGATTATCATTCATTCATTGCCATCCATTTGTATCACAATCTCTAACACATCTCCCATCTGTTCCCTTCACTTGTAATCTCATAACTCATTGAATATGCCATAGATTTTGGTGTCGATCACCTCAAGTCATGGATGGGAAGGACTTCTTTCCCGTGGCTAATGAGCAATGTATACGACCACAAGACCAACCGTCCCATCAATGATGCCATGGTTTGGCATATCATCGATAGGAATAATAAAAGGGTATTCAATAGGATTGGTGTCATAATGTGTCAAATGTGAACTCAATGTGTGTTTAGTTGGGAATCATAGG